CCTCTATGAAACGTCAAGCTACCCCACAGCACCCCCAAAATAAATCTCTGGTGCCGTCACTAAGCCTGACTATTTGTGTTGGGGGGACCCAACTTTTTGTTTTCTCCAAAGGGGGGGCCTGACAGAAAAAGATTGAGAACCACTGCTCTAAGTGAACGATTCATAACTTGTAGTTTTCCGTTCTCTATCTATCCACCAAAATATCTAAGGATCATAGGCCATCTTTCCCGTTGTAAAAAGGAAGATGAAAATGATCAACCAGTTAATTTGGAAACCAAATCTGAAGGTGTAGCTAATTGACGATGGCAGAGAAAAGAGTCAAAAATATATAGAATATCTGGATAATAGTTGTATCATAAAATGAAATATTGTTCAGTTGAGTACCAATATGTCTCACTTTTTTTCTGTATGTTAGGATACAATCAACAGGAATGCACTGTTTAATATGATCCCTTGCTCCTTGATAAAAATGCTTCCTGAGATTTCATTATTTGGCATAGCCAGTGAAATTGAAATGTATAAATCCTCAAAGGTATGTACATACCGTTTCAATATCATGTTGCCAAAAGCCATCAAAGAGGCAAAGCATACCATGTCTGACCACTGGGTGGCTTTTGTATAAGAATATAAATGGGTATTTAGTATTTACTGTAGTTTTGTATTATGTTTCATCTGGTCTATAAGTTTGTGGTTTGCTACTGAGATTATTCACTTACACTAGTTGAGTGAATACCTAATGTTTGTGTTCACTGAGAAGGTGAAAGAGACAGAGATAGACAGAAAGAGAGATCGAGCATACCACTCTGTGTTATCAGGGTGTCCTTGGGCTGCTCCCTCTCTTATTTCCATCTCTGTGCACGTGTGGAAACCCTGTAGGGAAGAGGCAGAAACAGAGAAAGGGAGAGCAAATGCACTGCAAAATCACCAATGCCTGCTGATGCATCAGCTTAATAAATTATACAAAGTTATCAGTGTATTTCACACACATACTCCTAAAAATCTGCTCTGCAATTCAGTGTACACCTGCTTGATTGTTTTTTGTACATGAAGTACTTACTAATACCTTTGTTCAGCTAACACACATCTCGGTAATATCTTTGGTTGGTTGTCTGTCTGTCTGTCTGTCTGTCTGACTACTGGATAGGCCTAATATGTTGGTGAAAATATATATTTATTTATTTAAGAATATGAGGTTGATAAATGATTCACAAAAAAAGAAAGTTTGATCATTGACTGCTGTAACGTCACTGTTCTGAACTTGCTGGTAGCCTATAGGTTTGATCTGAATCTAAGCACAAATAAAGTGTCTTTTATGGCCTTTATCTTTTTTGAAAGTCTAATGTGTGAAAACAGCTTTTCGAATGAAACCTCTGCAAATTGGTTTCATTCACAACAGGCCAAATGACCTGAGGCAGTGAAGTGCTGTATTACAGCCTTTTATTTCTAAGACATTTGAGTTAACCGTTATATTGAGGCTTAGTGATGATGATACCCCTGCCGTGGCACGGCACAGGTATTTTCTTACCTTAAACTTCTTAGACCTACCCTTTATGTTAGGCAATAGACCAGCCACTTTCTGCTCTAGCTGCTGCTCTAAGCAGCTTCCGAGTTCATTGCACTCCTTTAACTCATCACAGCACCAACAGTGAACATAGCAATATATAGCAAAATACTGCCTTGAGCTGATCATTTTTGCTAATTCAATTGGACAACCTTACCTTGGTAAATTGGCTAGCGTTTTGATTGCAACATTCAGGGCCGTCCCTGGCCAACATGAGGCCCCACGCAGTTATATGGTGAGGCTCTCTGTTTCCAACCCACTCTCACGGCATTTCGTTTTATAGTCACGACATTTAATCTATTGATTCGTGTTCACCAACACGATTATCCCCTGTTTTCATGTCACACAGAACGATTTTAAAAGCAATGTATTTCTACTGGTAGGCTAATGTGTTTCGTGCCTGCAACACGTATTTTCCTCCGGTCGGGTCGTGGAAGACCGGAAGCTGTGTGGTTCATAAAAACATGTTCTTACTCAATATCAAGCCACAATTATTGCTTTTATTTTAAATCGTATAATTGCGGACTTTTGTTGCCGTCTGTGAGGAAAATAAATGGGGCTCAGAGCCTCAGAATACAGAAATCTGTATTTTTAAAATCTTTCCTTCTAATTTGTTATTCTTTTCAAAATAACACACTGTTATTTACTCTTATTTATTGGTTTATTTCCATAATCTCTGGCTTTTTTGGCGTCCGTCAGGAACTGAATTTCAAAATAAAAATAACCGGAAACAGACGTAGGCCTCTAGGAGTTTAGGATGGCCGAAGACACTACACTACCCATAATCCCCAGCTATCGTTTAGGACTACAGTCCCCGTGATTAATCTTCAAGCTCTGGGATTGGATGTTGGAGTGGCAGTGCGCCAAGGTTACGCCTAGCGTCAAACAGCTGTTTGAAATGGAACGAAACCACGCCAGACTATCCAAAACTGGAATCGAACGCCCCCCCAGAACTACACATGCTGGCTATTGTGTTTCGCAAAATGTTCTATGGGACGTCTCTACTGAACG